ACTGGGTACCACAAAATGTTAATTGGTTATTTTAAATGTAAAACCAAAGCAAAGTCACAAAATGTTAATTGGTTACTTTACATGGGAAACCAATCCAAAGTCACTACGTACCACAAAAATGCTAAGATACTATGCTTGCTAAAGTATTTCTTAGGCGGCACCTTGTTTTTTAACAGCAAGGCGCCCAATGATATGCAAGCTTATGCCGGTGGGAAGTGGGATTGTTGAGTGCCGATGTAAACCAAGATACATAAGTCTCCAAATGTCGATAAGCAGGTTCACGTCACATACTCAAGTACACACACACATATGTTAAAACCTGCTATTGACAAAATATGCGGATGAAAGCACAAATGAAAAATAATAAAAATAAATAAATGCTACCACACTCATACGCACAAGCATTTTTTTCGGTATAATTTAATGCAAGTAAAATTCTACGTTGCCCATACATCCCTGCACAGTAGAATGCATGGCATCCATGCAATCCATCATCCAAAATTTTGTAGGTCGTGAGTTAACATTATGCTACATTCACACTAGGTGGTTCTTTGATTAGAAAAATAATGTATATAATGCCAAGTTTACACCCACCGAATTATGCGCTTGCACTCATCAAAATGTTGCGCCTTTCATACCACTCGCCACCCAACAATACATATATACGTTATAATATCCACTGCAACGATATCTGACCCTATTTCAGCCGTAACGATGTCTCATATCGCCACTATGAGGAAACGAGCCGAACAACGCGCCCACCGCTATCCGCTACCGTGCCGCCTATGCGACGCACACCACCCGATTAGGCTCTGCCCTATTTATCGGGCAAAATCGCCCGAGGAGAGACTGCGCGAAGCTCTACTGGGCCGCTATTGCGCAAACTGCCTTGCCATGACCCACCAGCTAAAGGAGTGTCAAAGCGAGGGAAGATGCCGTAGGTGTGGCGAGAAACACCACTCAACTCTGCATTTAGAGGATGAGCCAACGCGCCAACGAAAATGTGAGTCATGGAGGGCACGAGGCAATGAAGGCGACTCAGAGGAACCAGTCCCCAAACCATGGAGTGTGCAAGTGGAAGAAGCCGAGGCAGACGGCACTCTGTCACTATACGCGTCCGACTCGGGAACCGAGACTAGGCCTCCCGGTCCAGAGATTGAAGAAGGGGAAGTTACTGAGCGCGGAGCGGGGACTCGGCCTCTCCGCCCGCTTACGAACGGGGGACCGGAAACACGGTCTTTCCGGCCTCTGCTGCGGCATGAACGCAGAAGTACGGCTGGATCCGAAACACGGGTTCACCGAGCACGCCACCAAGGGCGACAAAGCCGCAGAGCGGGAACTCGGCCTTTCCGCCTGCGCCAATTCACAACATTTCAACACGAAGATAGACTGGTGACTAGGCCTCGCCCGCTATCACGACCGCACGCTTTTCGAAATACCATAATAACGCCATCACTCCAGCCCACTATATCCGTGGCGCCGACGGCTGTTGTAAAGGTGGAGGCGAGAGGGCGCCTACATCTGGTCCGCGCGCTTATTGACGCTTGCGCGCCGAACACTATCTTGTCCGCGGATCTGGCCCAAGAGCTAGGGCTTCAGGAAACCTATATCGGCGGGCAACGAGGGTGTTTCCTATGCATAAGGGGCAAGCATGGGCAGAACAAGCGGGTGGCGACCCATGCGCTTATTATACCCCGCTACAACCATGTCTCACCTAGGACTAATGTGGATCCCTCAGTTGCTACGCCGTATATCCACATTCGGCTTGCGGATCCAAATTTTTTCGCATCAGCACCGATACGCCTTGCCCTTGGGTCGGACGTATATGCGGACCTAATCTTGCCCGGAACGTTACCGACGTCGTTTGGCCCCCTCATTGCGCAAAGCACTATTTTTGGTTGGGTGCTGTCAGGGGCGTGCCGGCCGTAAATTTAACTTACATAAAAAACCAAAATAAGATGTGAATTATTTGAATTTTTTGTAATGAAATAAAGTGCATTGAATTATAACCATGTTTGTATCCCATGATTTTCACTCTATGATTTACTAGGTGTTTTAGGGGAAAAAGGATGGAACCGCTCGTCGAAGATCTTGGTGATGGTGGCGCCGCTCTCAACAGCACAACCTACATGATTCACACACTTGTTTTGTAGTTGTAAGAACATATGAAGCTGGTAGCTCGGGCGTTTCCCAAGCACAGATGTTGCGTCCCGCAAGGGGGGCGGCATGTTTAGGCCTTCAGCCTAAATATTTCAAAAAAACTCCACCCTTATG